TCATGATGTGCCTATATATGGTCATGATGTGTCTATATATGGTCATGATGTGCCTATATATGGTCATGATGTGCCTATATACGGTCATGACATGTCACCTCAACACCATAATTTATTTAGGCAAGTCACATGTTCTTGTTAAATAAAATTTGATATTACTAGTACTGCATGCGTGTACAGATGATACATTATGATAGGAAATTATGCCAGTATTATTAGAAATATTCATCATTTCAATATTAGATAGAAATGATTAAACTCAAAGCAAAAACAAACCATAACATTTGATAAGAAAAAATGAATTATTACAAAATCCAACTTAATCTTTATTTAGTGCCAATTACATTTACATCAATAACCCCTCAGCACTTAAAAACCAACCTGACTATATTCTAATAAGGCCCCATAAAAAAAATTATTAGTTTATTACCCTACCAAAGAATAAAAACTGATGAGGGAGGGAGGTTTTTTTTTTGTTTTGGTAATCCCGCCCCCATTTTACCGACGTTCAGAAGTAAATCAATGGTTAGGGACACATATATAAAAAGTCATAAGATAAGAGTGGAATCAAATTTATATTTAAAAAAAGATGTTTTTGTTGTACCAGTAAACATATTTGCAAGAAACCATGACATTTTCAAGTGAAAAAAAAATGGAAAAAGGACCGTTTGAATTAAAAATATATGTTGATTGAAAAAAAAAACAAAAACAAAAACTGATTTTCCCCAAAAGTGATGAGGGAGCAGGTGATAAACTAATAATTTTTTTTTTATGGGCCTAAACTTCATTAGGTTGAATAGCATCAATTGTTTAACTTGAGACATCATTGCTTCCTTTTTGACTTACAGTACAAGACAACACTTTTATATAGAACAGTACAATACTGTGTGTTGCATAACCAACCAACAGAAGTACAGTTTGTTTTGGTGAAGAACATTTTATCACACGTTCACCTAAATACTTCCACCCCCATTGGGTGATGCATGTTACACCAGGAATAAGTAATTCAACTGTTTACTAAAATGCTAGAATGCTGACTGTAATATACTACCAGTGTTGACAATACTGTACATTCATTAATGAATGTTAAGCATTAGATCACCAGTTTCTAATGTAGGCCTACAATATTCTAATATCATCAATTTATAAGAACACTTGAATACCAGTGTTGACATTACTGTACATTCATAAAGGAATGTTAAGCATTAGATCACCATCTCATACTATAGGCCTACAGTATTCCAATATCATCAATTTACAAAGGACACTTGAACATTAGCATGATACCTCACTAAGCACTTATAATCAGTAGTCATGGACTTGAAATTGTACTTTGATATGGTGTATAAACTTAATAAGAATGATTATGATGCTTTTAAAATGATAGTTAATGCTTAGCATAGCTGTAGCAGAAAATATCACTCTGATTAAATAGCCAATATAGCACATACGAAATAGTTATGTGCTACAGCAAAGATATTGATATATTTTATGAAATGGGTGCTATATGACTGATATTATAAGCCTATTACAAATTATAGCTAATGACCAGCTACTACGACGATTTTAAATGCTTTTTTAAATGTTTGGATCAATACTGTGTTTTAGTGTAAATGATGGGCAAAAAGGATTCAGTGATGGGAAAGATTCAATAGTTTACCAAAAATAGGATTTGATCAAATAAATAACAGAAAACAATTATCTAATTTTGATGATAATGACCAGCTTCTTAGCTAACTGCTAGGCTTAAACATACAGACATCTGATGACATTTGACCACTGTCAACATTCTCTCTATGGGGTGCATTTCTAAGTTAACGCTGCAGGAGGTTGTTGACTAACAGGGCATAGTCCAAGTACTCTACCTTTCTCTCACAATAAAATCCACACTCTAGCTCCTACTTGACTAAATATTATTACAGAATTTGCTCAGAATTAGCAAAAACTAATACAATCCATCACTGATTTTACAGCTTATGACAGACAGCATCAAACTTAAAATGTTCTACAGAAACAGTTATACTTTTGTCAATAGTGTTTCATTATTCTACAATCTGTAGAGATACAAATTCTCTGGCCAGCATTTTAAAACATTATGATAATGGCCAGAAAATATCTTAAGACATAATATTTGAAATAAAAGTACTACAAATGGTTAATGAATGGAAGGAATGTGCTACAGTAGGGTTCTTTGTGTAACTTGCAGATTGGTTCAATACAAGCAAAAAACTTATACAATCGAGCATGTTGCGGAGGGGTAGGCTTCGGAATTCCAATTGACAAAGGTAGGGTTAAAGTCTGTGGATGCCCCTATGTTACTGTTGCTGCAACATTACTGTATGCCATAGGGCAAATGGACAAATTTATTAGATTATCACTCCCGCCCTATTTCAACAATTTTGGGAATATTGATGCAGGAATAATTTAAATTTTTTTCAATTAATTAATTTTTTTTGGTCGCATCATTTATTTTAACTGCATAAAAACAACTTTGCAAAAAACAAATGCTCACAAAGTATAAAGGAATTGGCTCCAAATTCGGCAGACTTCGAACTCATCTAATTGTTTATGTTCAGACATTGGGATTGCCGTAAAGTTGAAAATGCAAAGCCCATTCTTTAAACTTTTTGTTAACTGTCACTAAAAACAACTTGCTATAACTGCGGTTAAAAATAGACAACACAGTGGCGTGTAGACTCGCGCATGTTTTACAGCTTCGGCCAAAAATAGGCAACACTGTGGTCCGTCCCTCAAGAGACCCGCCCAGTAGGCTGATGGAATCATTGATTCACAGCATGAAGACTCACATGTTCCACAGACACTCTCACTGCTAAAAATAACTTGTTACAAAATGCATTACAAGTCGGCAGTCTTCCTTGTGATGGGTGTGTTTGGTTGGATTGGTTTTTGTTGAAAGAATGTTTAGGCAAAGGCTGGCCTAGCTCGAGTCAATATAAAGACCAAAGGCTAGACGCATACAGTATATAACTATAATTAGGCTGTTCCCTCCCCTTAATGTCTGACAGGCCTACCTGTAGTTTTCGATAGGCCATTGAATCACATGTCAGTTGTTTAAATGCATCTGCCACTTCGAAAAACGATGTCATGTTCGTTCTGTTCATGCACACGGGAACCCCCGGTTATAATCCCACCACCTTCCCCCCTCAAAAAAAAAAAATCTCCCGCCCTTTTCAATAAAAAAAAAAAAAAAAGAGTGACAATCTAATCATTTTTTTTATGTGCCTTAAAATTGTTATGGAATCATCTCTGAGGGACCTCAGTATATGCTGGTGTTTGATGTAACGACCATGGTGTAACGACCATGGTGTAACAAATCATGTGAATTACAAGAGACCTTAACTCCGTGCAAAATACGACCAAAACAGAAATCCCTATAAGTACAACTAGTAGAGCAAGAAAACAGTAAACAAACAAGAATGTGTGATACACTACTTGAACTGTACTGAATAATTTGACCTACTTTTTAAGTGCTAGAAGTATTATACACTCCACTAATTATCATCTTATACTCAAGTAGCATAAGTTTTATAAGATTACAGTACTTTAACATACAACTTCAACACACAGCTACTATAATTTAAAATAAAAAATTGATTGCAAAGTGGAATTTTAAGTCTCAATATTTTTTTTACCAGAATTCATTGTGTATTATATTTGTTTATATTGCCCTTTTTTAAAAAGCTCTTTGTATTTCCATGATCAGAATTCTTTTTTTTTTAATAAACAGAACTAAAATTATAAATTTTACAAAAAAAAGGCCTTTAATTTTATTGAAGAGAAATCTACTGTTGCTATGGAAGTTGATTTAACAGTGTTTTGTTGACAATATGAATTGAGATCCAAAATATAGAGATAACTAGTCCTTCATTGGGTTGGAAAAGATAATAAATGTACAGTACCTATTAAACTAGATAGTAGATATAAAAATACTGTCAAATTAAGAAATAAAATGCTATAGACAGCAATCAATGAATTTATAAATAAAATTGACATTATCCTTTGTAAGATCTGAAAAATGGTTGCACTTATGGTAACAAGTCATTTCATTTTCTTTTTGGTTGATTTCTCTAAGGACTTTAGTTCTAATTTTATGAGCAAATCTGTCAAATGTATGCCTATCTACCAAGGCATTGAGTACTGCTGGTTGCCCCACAGAGATAATCAATTCTCATAGGTGCAAAGTACTGTATCAGAACATAGTACAGAAATAATTTTATTAACAATTTTTCACGCTAACATAATTCATCCTTGATGCTTGTTAAAAATGTAAACATACTAAGCAATTTTCACTGCAACTGGCTGTCATGCAATGATTAGCCAAACCAACAGTCCTTTGATCTCTACTGTTGCATCAACAATCCGATACTACTGTAGTGGCGAGTACAGCCGTCAATTGTTAGTCTATGAGTGCCATACATTTTATGGTGTTACTGCTACTATTTTCGCAATGTATGTTACATCTGGTTTCTTTTGACCACAAGGTTGTTAAGTGCTTCTATACACTACAATTTGATTAGTGAAGATTGAGCAACAAAATGATAAGTTATAACAATTTAAAATTTATGATTTTTATAAAAAATTATGTCATTTTGACAATGTTGGACGAAGGTGCACAAAACGAACATTTGAGTAGATGCAGAAAATGGATTTATTTTTTCTGCAATGTGAGTTTCATGTACAACAATTACCCCACAACATTGGTAAAATTAATGTTGAAATAACAATATAATTTCAGTCTAATATTAGGAGTTTGTAATCACTGCACAATGCACGATTATCATGGCGCGTGGGTAATTCGTCACACGCTGACGAGTAATTATGGTGTGGATGCTATGGTTTTTGTGACGATCAGCGTAACCTTGATGTCCCGAGATGTGCGTCCTGTTGTTGAATTGCCTTGGATTAGCTACACACACCAATCATGACATGCACATACAGTAACATAAACCACCAAATAAGCACCGATCTCAAATAAGCACCGTCCTCGAATAACCACCGCACCAAACATGTTTTTTTCGCTAAGTGCCGCTCTTGAATAAGCAAAGCTGTGCTTATTCACAGTTGAATATTAGGGCTGCAATATTTTGTTAATGAGCGCAGCTCTTGCATAAACACCGCTCTGAAGCCTCCGAAAATTGTATAAGCACTGCGGAGGATTTACGGTAGTGCTGAGTGTCAAAAGAAAAATAAGAAAAATATATTACCCATAATCATGTAAGCAGTAGTCATCTTCAAGCTCAACTGATTTCCATATAAGGTGTTGCTGACTGAGCGGTATACCTAGAAAATAATAAAACATTTTAACAATGAAATATGATTTTTTTAAAATTTGTTTTGTACTGTACAGTACTTTAAATGGAAATTCCAACAATATTTATTTATATTGTTATAATGACCACAATCACAACCAAAACATGTATGCAGATTCACACAAAAACAATTATGACAAGGGCAAGAAAAAAAATTCTGGTGTTGGCCTCGTTTTGGGGAAATCCAAAAAATCGGTAGGTCGGTATTTTTTTTTTTTAAACTAATAATGTGTTTATGCCTAAAAAGTAGAAAATAATATACACAAAAATACAACAAAACAAATCTATTTTGAAGAGAAAAACGTTCACATAACACTGTCGCATCACTTACAATTGCAAGATAGGCCCATTCTAACCTTTTTAACTCATTAAGAATATATTTTTCGTTGTAGTCAAAAAAAAAAAAAAAAAAAAAAAAAAAAAAATCAAAAATGCCGAATCTCAATTTTGAACAATTTGGGTCGGTTGGGCGTGGCAAACACAATCATTAAGGCTCCCAGGGAAAGACCCAGTCTCCGAACAATTGCCACGCGCGGCTACCCTACAGTACTGGGTATAAAAAACTGTTCCTTCTACCAAAGTTTAATAGAACAAGAGAGCCAACTACGCTCATTAAGACGGTAAAAAACGATACGCCCTACGCAGCTTGTGTAGGATGCCAACTAATGCTTGTAGGTACTTTTTATTACCCTGTCTGTTTATCTGTTCTACACAAGACACAGTACTTTTGTTTTCTGCTTGCTGAGTTCATAGCGGGCGTACTTCGATCATGCTGTACTGGGTATAAAAAAGTACCTACACCGTCAGTGGGCGTCCTACGCAGGCGACATTTTTGTGAACGGGAGTACGCTCTCTTGTTCTATTTATACTCTTTGCTTATACAAAAATATCTCATTTAAGGCACTATTTTATGGCAGATTAAAGAATGAATGCAATATACTTTAATCTAATCTAAACATAATTACTGTAGTTTCAATACTGAACTTTTGCTACATTGTTAGTTTATACTGACTGTAGCATAAGTAAATTTAACTTTTATTATGGAATAAAACATTTAATTGAAAATTAGATGATTACATTTTGCTGCAATTACACATCACAAAAAATGATGTACACTGCTGTAGGCCTAGTGCCGCCTAAACTGTAGATATTTAAATGATTTTGCAAAATCTGTATTTATTAAAACCAGATTTTATTTTTCCAATTTTATTAATGTTGATAAAATGATTTGGTCTTGTTAAATAAACAATTCAACACTACAGTAATAATAATATGAGACATTTTTTCCAAGATTTTAACTTGAAATTTTTCAAATTTTCCTCTATCCTTTATAGGCCTAGGCCTGGCTAGGCCTGCTGTACACTACTAGGAAAAGTTTGCTCTGATTTCTTATTAACATAATTTCACTTTCAATTTTGCCACAAGATAGGATGCAACGCCATGCTACCTGTTCTTATAGGTTTGCTTCCTTGGCCAGGACCTGTGCTGGCGGTACAGTAGCAGGTCAAAACAGCAATAAACCAAAACGGCAATGATCAAAATGGCAATAACCCAACCAGCAATGAACCAAAACAGCAATGACAAGAACCAAAACAGGAAGAGACCAAAACAGCAAAGACAATGTACCAAAATGGCATACACCGAAATGGCAAAGGAACTAAGTCAATGCCAAGTCTAATAAGCGCCCTGTTTGAATAAGGCCCCCTCTCGAATAAACGCCCCTTCTAACGTGAAAATTTCCTTAAGCGCCCCCCTTCTAATTTGAATAAACGCCCCCTCAATAACTCAATCAATCCTGGACTGTGTGGATGTTGGCATGATTTGAGGTGTGGAGTGGAATCACATTCTCCTTTAGTCAATATCAAAATGAGGATATTTACCTTGGACAAATGAGAGCTCCCTGGACAGACAGTATATTTCCAACTTTCATCTTCTTACATTTTTCTATAGCCTAGTCCCACTGCTTTTCCGACAATTTCCACCTAATACATTCTCATCTGAGTTTTCAAGAAAACATGCAATGATCATGCCATTATGCTGATCTCAATCAGCCGATGGCCAACAAGCTGTTATTGCTGTTATGTAATACATGTACTCACAACTTTCTTGTCACGACAAGACATGCTCTTTGGACGAAAGTTTCCGCCGCACCACCATTCGTAATATGCAGCTTCGTTTTTCATTCAAAATATGCCTTTTGAATTTAATAAGTTCTCATAAGAACCCCTCGATTTTCATCTATTTCCATAAGTGCCCCCTCAATTTCCACTCTGTTTTGATAAGTGCCCCGTTCGAATAAGCGCCCCGTTTGAATAAGCGCAACTCAAAAAGTGCAAAAAATACTTTAAGCGCCCGGGCGCTTATTCGCGCGAGTACGGTATTGCCATGGGCTCTTTTTCCCACTTTTAATGTTTATATATTATTAGATTGTTTGAAGGTTTTATTGTTTGAAGGTCTACATGGCGAAGTAATAACATATATGTTGAAGCTTGCGGTACACCACGTAGGTAGTTCTGAAAAGAACTGTTGCAGTAGGTAGTTCTGAAAAGAACTGTTTTAGTTTCTCTAACTACAACAGTTCTTTTCAGAACTACCTACGTGGTGTACCGCAAGCTTCAACATATATATTATTAATATTTCACATTTTTTTACTTTTATGATATAAATTGTTTAGCCTCATTTTGTCTGTATTCGAAAGTTTTATTTGTTGTACTCACTTTTATATTGTTCCCCCACCCCAATCTTTTTAATATTGAATTTGTATGACTAATTATTATTATTATTATTATTATTGTTAATGATATTATTGCTGCTGCTGCTATTTATTCAGCCATATATTTACCATATTTAATTGCAGTACACTTTCATGTTTATAATTAGTTTAATTTTTCGGGTTTTTAATTTTATGACAAATTGTTTAGCATCGTTTTGTTCTTCGGTCTTGACTTATTGCCGGTTTGGTCTATTGCTGTTCTGGTCAAAAAGTGTTGCAGTTTTGGTTTTTTTGCCGTTTTGGTCATTGCCATTTTGGTTTCTTGCCGTTTTGTCCAGAAACCATGCCGGGCTAGAGTATGATGCCTAGGCTCTAGCTACTCTGTAAAGGCTATGCCCCCTAGCCTATATATAGGCCTAGGCCCCTTGCCTTGCTACTAGGCCTCACTAAACTAGGGATAACCGCCTAGCCTAGGGTAGGCCTAGAAGTAGGCCTAGGCCCTAGGTTAGGATAGGAACTCCTCCTCTACTACTAGGCCTAGCCTAGTCCTAGCTCGTCATACCCGAACATGCACACATTACTATATAAATTAAAATGAGAAAAGTTGCAAAAAATTTGAAAATAACAAACCTTCAAGCCGTTGTATTTTGGCTTTTACTGAAATAACAGTTTCGAACGGTGAAACTCTTAACTCAAAAACTGTTCCAGTCAGAGTTTCAACAAACAACTCTATCAAGTCCGCATACTCAGAATAGTCTAAGTAATCCATTATTCATTTATACAATTTTCTTTTTTTTTTTAAACTTGTGGAAAAAACGTATCAGAAGTGTTTAATAGCCTACCATAGGCTTCTTGAGCCTAGGCCTAGTTAGAGGTACATTGTCATGTAATTCTCCCACCATCGTAAACCACAACAAAACAATTCACCGACACGCAAATACAAGGCTGCTGCTGCTGAATTTGTGCGGTACCGACGATCTTCCTGCCATCGCTAATAAAATTGTTATATTATTCCAAGACCATGGCGACCAAATTCTAAATGGTAGAATGGTGACCTTTTTAATTGTTCACAACAGTAACTTTCTTTTCTGTGCTTTCTCTCAAGCAGAATGTTGCTAAGAGTAAATGTAAGAACTGTCTTCGCTCTTATTGCTAAGGATAACATTCATACAGAGGTATTTTTTAGTAGCCATGTTTAGAACCCGGATGGAGATCATCTCCAAGAGCAACCAAGATCAGGTGATCAAAAATGATAAAAGATTCGATAGCTTGTAAACATAGAGATTACACTTTGTATTAAACTTTATAATCGTTGTCATGAATACAATTTCCCATGCACCAAGAATCTGCTTATATTATCGAAAATAACGCATATCAAAATAAATGAACTTTTGAGTAGGCCTACCTACTACAGAATAGCTTTTGACTGTTTTATTCATTCATTCGTCCGTCTGTTCGTTCGTTCTCTTCCTACATTCATTCGATCGTTGATCCTTCCTTCTTTCGTTCATCGTTAAATCTTTCATTCGTTCTCTTCGTTCGATCTCTGTACATTCGTATAAATATATAGGCCTATATATATTATATATATATGTTTATATACATATATAGGCCTATATACATACATACATAT